CTTAGCCTTTACTTTGATTTATGTTTGATTTATTAATATCTACTTAGTTTTTACTATGGTTAAAAAATTAATATAATTTATTGTTGACAATAATTTCAACCACAGTCTTTTAATAGAATGGAAAGATCATGGTATCGAACACTATCTCATTGTTTTCTAAAAGAAAATTATGATGTCATTAAGAGTGTTTCCTGATCAATTTACCCGAATCTGATCATTATAACGTGTTTAAAACCCTGAGTAGGTTCTCAACTTCTGAATCTAAATAGAATCATGGAGAGAATCATGGAGAGAATCATGGAGAGAATCATGGAGAGAATCATGGAGAGAATCATGGAGAGAATCATGGAGAGAATCATGAAGAGAATCATGAAGAGAATCATGGAGAGAATCATGGAGAGAATCATGGAGAGAATCATGGAGAGAATCATGGAGAGAACTATGGAGAGCTTCTGAGAAAAACGGTATTAAAATACTTTAGGGTTAGAGTTTAAATTACATTAATTTATTGTTGACAATAATTTTATAAAGGAAATAAAAAAAGAAATAAAGATATAAAAGAAAAAAGCTTCTTTAAGAAGAGAGTATTAGAATACTCAAGGATTAGAGTTTATTAAACATTAGTTTATATAAATCAACAATAAAAAAGTCCTAAAATTTGTCAAAGCTTGATCTTTAATTTTATATGAATTTTCATTGTTTTGTATTCTTGTCATATTATATTTTGTCTTGTATATTTTGCTTTGTGTATTATATATATTTGTTATTTTGATACTCTATAAATCTATCCATAAATCGTGAAGAATTGCATGTAAAGCACTTTGTAGACTTTATTTTATAATGTATATACTTTCTTTTTATCAAGATAATAAATGTATATTTTATATGGCATACCTAGAGAAAAAAAAAAAAAAATGTATATATATATATATATATATATATATATATATATATATATATATATATATATATATATATATATATATATATATATATATATATATATATATATATATATATATATATATATATATATATATATTTAAACGCACCATAGATCTATGCGTAAATGATTGAAGAAATCATTTAACAACATTACTTTTATTTAAACAGTAAAGAATAGCATTTTTTGTTTTGTTTTGTATTACAGTTTAAGCCAAAGGTATTAATTTCTTATTGCTTTATATGATTTTACGTATTATCGTTTTCTTTAATTAATTAAGGAAAATAATAATACGCTATATTATCATTTAACCGCAAGAAAATGTTAGAAAAAAAAAACACTTTAAAACATAGATTATTTTGATTATAAATAAATCTAGAGTGGTAGAAAATATAACTTTTTAGTTAATATCTAAATCGATGTATTAAAAAAATAATAATATTAAACTTAGGATTAAATCTTCAACTGATCATGCATTAATAAATCGGACACAAATTTGTACCCGATGAAATATTTGTTTATATTATTATACATGTTTACATACACAAATATTTATATAATTATATTTTATAAATATATATTATCAAATTCTTTAAGTAATTCTTGTATATACGTAGTTATACAAGAATTACTTAAAGAATTTGATTTAAAAAAATGACTTAGGGTGAAATGCAAGAAGCGAACTTGAGTCAAGCTCGACTTGAACTTTTCATTGCAGCCAATAGCGACAGAGTATGGGTTTTTCCCTCAAAAAATACTCTGCCGTTATTGGTTACAAAGTAAAGTTCAAGTCGAACTTGACTCAAGTTTGCTTCTTGCATTCCACCCTTAGAGTGTCTTTATTGATCTAAGTAAAGTGTATGATATATTAAACCAGTTTCCCAAAGTGGATGATAACGCCTTCTGGAGGTGAAAGCGGCGTTATGTATTTTTCGCTGACGGTGAGTAAAAACAAAGGGGCAGCAAAAACATAAAAAAATAGAGAAAAGATAAATTAAAGACTGTTTTTTTTATTTTAATCTAGTAATGTTTGATATTTATAATGAAAAATATATTTATCATTGCCACAATTATAGTAAGTGAGAGGGCATTTTTACCCGATTCGATGGGTTTATCTTATATATTTTTATACGATAATATGCTTTTATAAATTGTTTTCTGATATTTAATAGTAGTAAGTGGGAGTGGATATCCAACTTTGTTGCAGTTTTTATTCTGCTTTGAAAAAAGAATTACACTTAACAGTTTTATTTTTTTTTAATGGTTTTCTATTATATATTTTTCAAATAATAGCGTACTTTGTCGCTAAAAAAAAATCTCAATATCATATTATGACTTCAAGTTATAGGGCATCGAAGTTGTGTATTATTTATTGTGTATTTTCGTAGTATTTATGTATAAAATACTAAACGCACTTATTTATTCATTTTTTTTTTTAAATAACTTTTTCTTATCTTATTTCTGTTTTGTGTTCACTTCGGAGAGTGTTTACGGCAATTATTTATTATATATACTAGATGTCTAATTTCGATCCAAAAAGTGAAGCCGCTTTTGCCAAAATTAGAAATGGCTTCCACAACATTAACTTTATAATTTTTGCCCTTATTACAAATTTGTAAACAAAAAAAGGGGCTTTAATTTTCGTCCAGTTAAATCCCGTAAGTTAGACATTTAGTATAGGGGAGAGTTGCCATAATCGGAACAGCGCCTTAATTAGAACACTTGCATTTATTTTTGAAAAAAAAAATGAATTATGGCTATATTTTTTTGTCTTATTTTCTACGTTTTGACACATTTGGAAAGTTATTCCTCAAAAAAAACATGTGCACCATTGGTTTAAAGTTTTTTTGCGTCATTTTTTTTCGGTGATCTAATTTTGTGTTCACACTAAATTGATTGCGCTGTGTAAACTATACTGTTATGGTTTTTTATGTATAATTCTATGGGATTTAAAATGCGAAATAGTAATATAAACTTATCTTATAAATTGCTACAAGCATGACATTGCAGTGATATAACAAAATAGTTCAAAGTTTCCTTGATTGGAACTATAACTTTTTTCTTACTTAATCAGTAATAAAATCAAAAGGTAACCCTTTGATTTTATTTTACAACCCGGTTGTAGAAATAGTTCAAGCGCAATTTAAAAATACTTAATAACAATCATAAACCTTAAAAATAATACTTTATTTAGTGATTTTCAATCAATAAATTAAGAAAACGTCATGACAACTACACATATATAAAAAATAAATAAATAAATAAATATATATATATATATATATATATATATGTATATTTATACATATATATATTATATATATATATATATATATATATATATATATATATATATATATATATATATATATATATATATATATATATATATATACATATATACATACATATATAAATATATATATATATATATATATATATATATATATATATATATATATATATATATATATATATATATATATATATATATATATATATACATATATAAATATATATATATATATATATATATATATATATATATATATATATATATATATATATACATATATATATATATATATATATATATATATATATATATATATATATATATATATATATATATATATATATATATATATATATATATATATATATATATATATATATATATATATATATATATATATATATATATAGCAGTGCCGGATCAAGGCGGGGGGGAGTGCTATAGCCGGGCCCCGCAAATTTAGGGGCCCCCAAACATTTTAGAGGATTTTTTTTTTTAGTTATTTTTAGGCTCTGGCGCATAAAAAGGCCTCGAAAAATAAAAGTAGCCCCGGGCCCCAAGAAGTCTTAATCCGCCACTGTTTCGGAGGCGAGAAAAATTATAACTACTGTTATAAAATTGTTACTGCAATAAAAAAAGTTTATTTTCGAAATTTATGAAAACTTAAATGTAATATGTTGTTGAAAATATATTTAAAAGTTTATCCATTTCTAATTAAAAAATTGCCTAAATAATAAAAACTTGAAAATTAAGATGGGTATTAAAAACTTTAATAACCATCTTAAATAGTCTCTATTAATCTAGTTTTTAATTTTTTTTTTCTCGGAGACACCTTGCTAGAAAACATGAAGATTAAAAATATGCTGCTGGAATTTAAAACATTTAACAAATCATTATTATTTGAAACAAAAGACTAATTATAAGTTACGTTTGCATTTACCAAACATTGTCTAAGTTTGTCACTACCTACTACCCATTTGTCAAACTGGGGGTTGTTAATTTTGCATTTTCATAATTTTTAAACAATAAAAAATTGTTAAATAAAACTTAAAATTTGTTTCAAGACTAAAACATTCTCATTTGACATAAGCATGAACATACTGTATATTGAAGTTTAAACATAAGCTGTATTTCTATACAGTATTCTATGATATATTTTGTAGAAAATCGTGCTTTATTCAAATATGTTGCAATAAAAATTTAACAAAGAGAATATAAGTTTATATAAGTTTTTTATATACCTAACACTTATCTGTCACCATCCATCCACCTCTCAAACTAGGTATTTTTTACTTAACATGTAAGTATTGTTATTTAAATAAGAAATAAAGTTGTTCATTTCCTATTGTTAAATTTTACATGAATACAATGTTAGTTAATGTTTCATTTTGTTTTAAATTTTACTAAAATCAAAATTTGAATAAATATTGAACTATAAAACTCATTATGAAAAAAATAAGAAACTTTGTATTTGCATCCAGGAAAGAAAAAAGTTGCAAATTAATAATGAATAAAATGAAGGAAATATTTTTAATTTTTGCAATGAAAAAAGAATAAAAAGTCTATTGATAAGAAAAGAGAGTGTGAATATAAACAAATTTCATATCTTAATATTAAGGCGAGTGTTGAAACTCGTCTTGCCCCCGCCCTGTGGCATCCCCCAAAAAAATATAGACCTATATAAAAAATTTCAAATTTTTTTTATTTCAATAAAAAACGCGAGTAAAAATTTTCTTTTCTTTTATAAACTTAATTGTACTTTTTCATTTAAAAAAATTCTCTTTAGGAATACGATGTCAAAACCAACGTGGGAAATAATTGAGGCAATTGTTCTAATTTTAATTGCAGCATGTGCTCTTTTGGGAAACTGCATGATTATTCTTGCTTTCGTTATTGGTCCTAGAGCAATAAAAACCTTTACGAATTACTTCGTTGTTAATTTAGCTGTTGCTGACTTAATGGTCGTATGCTTATCGTTGCCATTTTGGATTGCAAGCCGTTTAGGTAATGTCTCAAAACACAATCTTTAGTATCTAATTCTTTAATATCTTATTCTTTTTATTTTCCTTTAAACACAATCTTTAGTATCTTATTCTTTAGTATTTTATTTTCCTTTAATTTTTGTCAATTAAAGCATTATAGAGTTTTGCCTAGATAAAGTTGCATTTTTATTTGAAATTTTTTTTTTTATCTTTCAATATATATTTTTTCATACCATGACATTAAAAAGTTTATTTTTAATAATTCAGAATATTTTTAAAATGGTGATTTAAAAAATTTTTTAGCATAATTTTATAAATTAGGATTACGAATATCATAATAGCAAAATTCGCAATTTTTTATTTTACTTGAACTTTTTTTGATTTTTCCTTTTAGTTTTTTTTCTTTTTCAAATATTAATAATAAACAATTTATTTTTGTTAAATAATTTAAAACCTTTTTAAAACGATCACTTTAATTTTTTTTTTTTTTTAATATTGATCTTTTTATTAAGAGTGCTTATCGTTCAATAATTGTTTTTAAATTAGATTACGAACTAATTGATGGCAGAGTTCGCAAGTTCTTCGATGCTCTTGACATACTTTGCGGAACAACGTCAATACTAAACCTGACAGCAATAAGTTTGGAGCGTATGTATGCAGTAAAATTTCCTGCCCGTCACTTTAATTTATCGCCACACCCTGTTATTGGGGTTATTGCGTTAACTTGGACAACTGGATTATTTTTCACTATTACGCAATATCCAGCTACTACTGGAAAAAGTGTTAGATGGTACACATGTTTCATTTTTACGATGGCATTTCTTATTCCGTTACTTATAATTGTTGGTTCTTATTGCATCACCTTTCATTGCGCAGTATCCACCTTAAAAATTAATAGTAAGCGAGAATTAAAAGTCGCTAAAACAATTTCTGTAATAATTACTTTGTTTTTCGTTTGCTGGAGCCCGTTTTTTATTGTGAACATGATATTTGCATTTTGCGAAGGAATAAATTGTACAAAGCTTCCACGTTGGTTGGTTGATGTTACAAAAGTTATGCACTATAGCAACAGTATGATGAATTTCTTTGTTTACGGACACCGAAGTCCTGATTTTAGACGTTCTTTTAAAGCTTTTTTCCACTGTAATTTTCGACCTATACAACGAAGAGTGCATCGTTAATAGTTATAAAAGATAAATTAAAGAAATGTATTTAAGAATAATATTTTTAAATTGTAAACGGTTGCATAATGAAAATTTAAATATTTTTAACAAAAAAAAGTAACTAGTTGTTTGTGGTATTTAAAAACTAACATTTAATGGAAAAAAATTAAAAATTAACATTTAATGGATAAAAGATTAAAATATTGTATCTAATTTAAATCTATTAAATGTTTTTAATTTTAAAAATTCATTAAATTAATTTCACGATTTTTGAAAAACTTAAGAATCAAATGAATACTAAATGGTAACTAATAACAACATTAATAAAAGGTGGATACATTATTTTCAATATGGTTTGGAACTACAAATAAAGTCATCAATTGTTCCTAAAAACGTTTTTGCTGTGGTATTTAAGTTTTTTTATGGAAATGATTTTTGCAAATTTACCATTTAACATTTAACAACGTCCAAGAAAGTTATTGTCATTTAACATTTAAAAACGTCCAAGAAAGTTATTGCCATTTACCATTTAACAACGTCCAAGAAAATTGCCATTTTAGTATTTTTAAGAGTTGAGCTGCATACAAACAAGAAAAATAAGAAAAAAAATTAAAAACAGTTGATAAATTAGTCTTACTTATATTCGGGTTTTGACCTTATCAAGCAATTCTTCTTGAAAGCAAACATTGTTGATAGTTGGTTCGACAAGTCAGAAGCTTTCAAAGAATAAAAGATGCATTGGCTAAGGGTGGTTATTAAATGATAACCAGATATCATGTTTGTAGTTTCAAAAAACCTAATACAGCTCCATAATTAAAAAAATATAAAAAACGTTTTTTTCATTAGGAAAATGTAGAAGGAAAAAGTTTAGGCAATATTTTTAATTATCAGCCAAGAGTTCTGATTTATAATTTTTATAAAACTTCAAACTTATTTTCTATTTTAATCGAATTAATAATAAAAAATATTAAAAAAAAACCGCCATTGGTAGGAATCGAACCTCGACTTAGTTGTTCAGAAGCTTTATACACTTGGTCGCACTGGCGCGTACTCAAGCGAATATTTTTAAAACAATGTAATGATTTTTTTTAAGTAAAAAATGTTATAGATCAAAATTAAGGAGAGCTTGACGCAATGCAATTTTTAAGTGAAAACTAACTGTAAAACTTGATAAATGCAAAACTTGATAAATGTAAAACTGTAAAATTTGATAAATGTTGCAATATGTTTTAACTTACTTAATTTAAAGTTTACCTACATTAGATATTTGGATACGCGTTCGTTCACGTTTTCTTACAAAACAAAGTGCTGCGACTCTTTCTCGCCATTACCTTGCTTGCAATTGCTGCCAAGGGTATCGTGTTAAATAGGCTCGAAAGCGCACTACTAACACTATTAAGTTATTAGCACTACTAACACTATTAAGTTCTGCAATAATAGATAGATTATTAGATGATTTAAAGTTTCGCCAAACTTAAGTCAGAAAATAACAGACGTAACTTTTCTTGAGTAAAATTTGCTGAGCACTTTTTAGGAAAATGTTGTGAATACCGTTTTTTTGGTAAGTAATAACTTACGTAAAAGCTTAAGAATAGCGTACCGTTATGGGCCTAAAAATAGAACTTTTTTCAGAAACGTAAGGCATTTTGGGATTGATATTCGGACAATTATTGCACAGAAACAAAAGAATTTTTTGAAAATGCTAGTGGTTGTGGGATTAATATTCGGACAAACAAACAATTTGACGTCACCAAAACGTGCGCTATTTCGTAAGTTTTTGCTTACGCAAGGTTTGCGAATATGACTTTGCGTAACTTTGAACTTAAGCAAAACTTACGCAAACTAAACGCAAATTTTGGACTTATGAAAGAGTTGTAAATCCACACCAAGGTAATTTTTTCTTCAAATCGCCTCACATAATAAGCGTATTCATGTCAAATAAGAGAGGTCTTAAGTAAAAAGATTTTTGAAATTTATAAGACGTGCAATGTGCTTTTGTTGACAATAAAGAGGTCTTAATTTACTTATGTGGGTACTACCCTAAGAAATGCCAAGCATAGTTAATATGACAGCGTATAAAGAGTAATGTTGTATAGCGTATAAAGATGGATATTTTCTTTAAACGATTCTTGTTTTATATACTTTTCCAATGCAACAATTTTACTGCATAAATGTCCGATGAGAATCTTCCACGATAGATCTCAAACAATTATAATACCTATAACACAGTGTTATAAAACAGATTCTTATCTTAACATACTGACCCAAAAAAAAAATTAGTTGAATGATAGCCCACACTATAAAGATCACTTAGATATAAGTCTCAAAATCAGATTACAACATCCTGGCAAGTTGTTTACATTTTAATTTTCAGTAAACACAAAACGTGTTTTAAATGTTTATTAACGTTTATAAACGTTTAAAACACGTTTTGTGTTTACTGAAAATTAAAATGTAAACAAATTGCCAGGATATATCATTTTACGTTATAACGTTATAATAATATTATAACAATATATATAGTAATATATAATAATAAACGTATTAATACGTTATAACGTATTAATACGTATTATAGACGTACTAGAACATTTTACTTTTTGCAGAAACATGCCAAATGACCGTTTATTTTGCTTTTTACAGAAGTAAAAATTTCTAAATTACATCAATATAAACAAGGAAAGTAAAATGATATATTCTTGAAGTTACACAAGTAATAAACATAAAATATATTTACAAAAAAACTGTTCCTTTTACATGGAACAAATTATATTGTCAGGACCTTTTGCTTTGTTAGTTTTAAGCATTTTAAAAGAACTTTCAAATTCTGAAAAAGACACTTTAAATACATTTAATTTAGTTATTAATGGAAAACGTAATCATATATTGTATTAATTATATTTGGAATATTTGTTAACTAAATTAGGTTCTACAGATAAAATTATTATTATTGATTTTTAAAACATCTTTTAACACGATTTAATTAAACTGCCCAAAACGAAACCCATCGAAACGAAATTTGCCTGCCCAAAACGAAACCCGTCGATGTATGTACACTCCCTGCATATTCTACCTATTTAAAGAGTCAATGTATAAACACTCGCTGCTTGTTCTATCTATTTTTTTAGTCAATGTGTGTACATCCCTTTATGCTCTACTTATTTATTCAGTCGATGAATGCACAATTCCTGCATGTTCTATCTATTTAAGTCAGTAGATGTATGTACATATCCTGCATGTTCTATCTATTTAAGCCAGTCGATGTATGTACATATCCTGCATGTTCTAACTATTTAAGTCAGTCGATGTATGTACATATCCTGCATGTTCTATCTATTTAAGTCAGTCGATGTGTCTACATTTTCTGCATATTTTTTTCTTTTTAATTTTCAAAATAAAATAAAAACTTATAAATAAAATAACTTTTAATTAACAACAATCGTAAGCAATACGCATAAAACTAGAACTAAATTAAAGCACACACGAAAGAAACAACCGCACAGATTCGATTCAGCGTCGCCAGTTCCGCAGCCTACCTTGCCTGTACTACGCAATATTGTTGAAAATCTGTAGTAAATTATAACTATATACTTGTTTTTTACATTAGGCAATTATTTAAAGCAAAGAACTATTATTTAAAGCAAAGAATTATTATTTAAAGCAAAGAATTATTAGGTTATCAATTTACACAAAATTTCAAACATCAGATTTCTGATTCTATCATCTGCCACTTTAAGTTTACAGAAAATTTACATTGTATAACGATGCTGAACCATGGCGTACTTTATAACAGGCCTATTCACCGTGCGGATGATGTCGAAAACTGGAGGCGAACATTTTTTAAACCATACTTTCTGTTAAGCGTCGAAGCTCTTGTTATTTATTTATTTAGTTAAAATTTAAAATTTTTAATAAACATGGGTCGTAAATGCTGTGTCACAAATTGTAATGGAAGTTATGATCAAAGCTCCAAAGAAAAAACTTTTCGTCTTCCTCGAATACCAGAAGAAAGAAAAAGGTGATTGGCAGTTATACCAAGAGACAATATACCAGATAAAAAAGACACCGTAGTTTGTGAAAGGCACTGGCCTGTTGGATACGTTTTAACAAAAGAATATGGGAAAGAAAGACCTCGTGATCCTCCATCTGTATTTACGTGTGTAAAATCAAGTTTAATACCTTCACCATCTGGTTGTCTCAGAACTACGTTAAGATCACATGTAGAATCTAGAAATGTTCAACCTGACGAATTGTCAGCTTTCAATTTAAAAGATGTTATAAAATCATTTAATGATCTGAAAACGAACATTGAAAGCTACAACTTTAATGGATTTGATATATTATTTAACACTAAAACAGACAATCAAGTATTAATTCAATCATTAGAGTTCTTTCATAAAACCGGTGTGCCATTATTTATTCTGAAAATAAATAATAATTTTCAGTCAAATGTGTAATAAAAACACTCTCGCAGAACAGAATTACCATATTAAATAGATGGTCGCATATTGTAGAAGCAGTTCGATTTTTAAATGCTTACGAGATAAGCAGTAAAAAACGACGGGTGATAAACTTGTCGCAGATAAAAAAATACTCTGTTGAAACAATGATTAGAGCATTTGAATATTTTTCAATGTCACGTGTTACATTTAATTTTCTCAGAGAAGATTTTCAACTTCCTAGCATTACAATATTAATAAGACTAACATCAAAAGTAAAATCTGTTCATGAAGATACATTTCTACAAAAAGTGTTTTCAAACTTATCTGACATTAGACATAAAAATTGAATTCTTCTATTAGACGAAGTTTATGTTAAAACTATGTTGCAGTACCATGGGGGAACAGTGTTTGGAAAAGCAGTTAACAATCCAAATGTTCTTGCTAATACTGTTTTGAGTTTTATGGTAGTTACTTTGTTTGGTGGACCCAAACTTTTATGTAAAATGCTTCCAGTACGTGAAATTGATTCAAATTTTCTTTTTGAACAAACTTTCTTCTATCTGCCATAAAAGCAGCAGGTGGTAGTGTTGTATGTATAGTTTGTGATGGTAACAGGGTAAATCTGGCCTTTTTTAAGAAATTTGAGACAGACGGCGTACCTTGGCGTACAAAAGATAACATTTATCTTTTATATGATTTTGTGCACTTTTTAAAAAATATTCGCAATAATTGGATAACTGAAAAGACTCAAGAACTTGAGTTTTATGTTAATAAGGTAAAAAAAATTGCCAAATGGTCTCACATTGTAGCATTGCATAAATTAGAATCAAATCAAATGATTAAAATGTCTAAACTTACTGATGTTGCTGTATTCCCCAAACCAACTGAAAGACAAAAAGTTCTACTTGTCTAAAAGTATTTTGTGAAGGAACTGTCTGTGCCTTAAAATGTCATCCAGACTTGAAAAATGTTGATGATACTATTTAATTTCTTTCAATAATAATTGAATTTTGGAGAATTTTTAATGTTCCCTTATGCAGATATACGTATGCGTGGTCTAAACCGAGCTGCAATATTTTCTTCAGGTGATTTTAATCTTCAAAAGCTGTTAGAATTTGGAAACTTAGCTAAACAAATGCGTTCTTCTCATAAGGTTCTTTGTAAAAGTTTCACAAAAGATACTTCTAAAAATCTCTATCATACATGCAATGGTCTTGTTGAGTTGTCAAAGTTTCTCTTGTCTACAAATCATAAATATGTTTGCTTGGAACATTTACCACTGATCCTTTAGAAAAACAGTTAGGGAAACTCAGGCAAGGATCAGGTGGTACATATTTTATTACTGTACAACAAATATTAGAGAAAGTTGGTATTATAAAGACAAAACTACTTTTACAATTAGACAATAATGGTTATTTTACTATATCAAGGCATTCTTGTGAAAGATGTGGTTTTTACATGAACGAAGAGAAATGTTTGATATTTGATTACTTACCAGAATTAGAAAATATATTATCTATAGATGTTAAAATGAGTCTGATTTATATAGCTGGGTATGTTGTCCGAAATGATGAAGATTCAGATGACTCATACTTTTATTATGAGAAATTCAGATATTTTACTGACGAAATCAATCGTGGAGGATTAACTGTACCTGGTGATTTTGTATGTCAATGGGTTATATATTGTTATATTATGTTTCGTGAAGTGGCTGATAACACATGCATTTCTTCTTTATGTAATCTAATAATGCTTATTTCAGAATCATATCAACTGAATATGAATAGAAAACATGGTGTTATACTTTCTAACATTCTTTAAAAACTATTGTATTCACTTTAAAAACTAGTTTGTATTCACAAAGATCAGAAAAAGAACCAAAACAAAAAATTTTGAAACTCAGTGTTAAATAACAATGTTATTTAACACTGAGTTTCAAAAAAAAATCCAACATAAAATACTGTTTCTGTTTTAAAAAATTTAAATAAAAATAATATGATGAAGAATGATGGTGAAGGTATTCAACTTGGTTTTACTTGGTTTTTATGGTTAGTAAAATAAACGATAATTTGTAAAAATTTATACATAAATTTTTAAAAATTTATGTATAAATTTATTTATAGATATATTTGTAAAAAAATCTATTTAGTATTTTTTTTATTTAGTATTTTTTTGATTGAAAAATAAATTTCAAGTTAAATTCATGTTATTAGTGTTTTTTCTGTTCAAAAAACTCGCCTCTAGTTTATGACGTCATCCGCACGGTGAATAGGCCTGTTTTAAAGTACGCCATGTGCTGAACACCATTATACACCGACGTCACAGAACATACACCGACGTCAGCAGAAGACAAACTATTTCACACCAAGGTAAAAAGATTCATTTTATGTCTATGTTTTAAAAGAAACTTTAAGTTATAAAAAAAACATGGAAACTTAAAGAATTTTTTAAATAAAAAGAATTTAGATAAAATTTAAACAATTACTAGTAACAATATATTTAATTTTGTAAAGGGCACACAATAGCATGTTTCAAAATAAACTTCCGTTTAAATATGAAATTAAATATTCAGAATAATTGGTTAATATTAAATTAAATCAGACAGATTTATATGTTATAAAATATTTGTAAGTGTATCACGTAATACTTAATATAATTTACACATATAAATGCAATTAAAGCCTAATATAATCACTTTAGTATAGTAGAAGGATCTCTCTCCTCATTATAATTGTGAGATTCTGCTCCACCGTGACCGAAACCACCTGGTCCAAATAATGCACTGTAGCATGGTATATGACAGTATGGCACGCCGCCATGCTAAAAAAACATAATTCAACTAAACAAACTGTTTCAATATAAACTAATAAAAATAACATAATACACTGTGTAATCTTATAACAGAAATAAGTTTAGAAAAATAAAAACTGTAATATAAATGTAATATTAGAGACAAGCAAAGTTAATAAAAACAATAAGTATCAGAGATAATTAAAGATCAATACTGATACTTTTATACAAAATTTTTGCAATAATGCAAAAAATTTAAATCAATAATTATGCAATAATTTTTATGGGACAAAACTAAACACCATAAGTGTAAACTGCGAAGATTAATTTGTGGCTTAATTAAACTTAATTTTAAAAGAAGATTCTAGTTAAATCTTCCCACGTGTTTGGAGTAAAAGGGTCACTCAAAAACGTATAAATACGTACAAGGGGAGGGGGTGTTAAAGATAGTAAGTACGTACCCAGTTTAAATATTTATCATTCTCTATCTCTTATAAACTTGATTTCTTTTTATTTAACAAAAGTACCGAATTTCACGAACTTAAAAAATCAATATTATGTTATATAACAGAAATATGTCTAGTTAACAAAATGTTTTTTTTTGTTTTTATCGTTTTGAAAAATTTATGCAACGGAGAAAAGGTAGGAGTGGGGTGGGTGGTATTGTAATAAATAATGCGTACATACGCAATGAGAGGGGTGTTGAAAACATACACAGGGTTCCCACTATTAAAACTGAGGCTATAAGTAAGGATTTTAAGTAGATTTAAGTAGACATTATCCTAATATTTAAGGAGATTTGGTCGCGAACGAAATTTTTTTGAAATAACAAATAAGGAGAATTAAGGAGAAAACGATTATATTAAAAACAGAATCTTATTTTTTTCAATAAATGTTAAATATAAACAGAGAAATTATTATAAATTAGTATATTACTTTTTATATATATAAATATATATTTAATAAAAATATAGGTTTGCAAACTATCGAAGAACTATATATTTTCCTCTATTAAATAGTATAATCCATTCACTTAAATAAAATTTCCTAGATGGTTAAAAAAAAAAAAAAAAAAAAAAAAAGAGAAATTAAGGAGTGCAGTCAAATTTAAACTTTTTTAAAGGTTATTTAAGGACATTTAAGGAGGTTTTTATTTTTAAAAGGATATTTAAGGTTTTTAAGGAGGAGTGGGAACCCTGATATAAGTGCGTACAAGGGAGAAGAGGGTCTTAAATTAGCGCTTTTACTGCGTACGTACTTTATGGAGGTAGAGAATAAATAGAAAACAAGAGAAAGTTAACAAAAATGTAAATTGTATAAATAAGGAAAACATAAAAAAAAAATAGAGAATTCCAAACCTATGTTTACAGGAAAAAAACAAACTTTTTGAGTAAGAAGAAATAGTTACAGAAAAAGGATACAACTAAACTATGAGCCACACAAGATTGAGTTTTGATCACCTAAGAAAATGTTAAGTAGAGAGAATCAATAAGAGTATTGCCATTCCTCAATCAACATCAACAATATTGTGATTGTATATATATTGTGATTGTATATATATTGTGATTGTATATATATTGTGATTGTATATATATTGTGATTGTATATATATATATATATATATATATATATATATATATATATATATATATATATATATATATATATATATATATATATATATATATATATATATATATATTGATAGTAGTTTAAAGAGTTTTAATGGGAGATCAGTTTAGCAACAGAAGCATTAGTAATTTGAATGTTTGAAATGGATTTACGTGTTTCATTAGAATAATAGAAAGAATGTAACTATTAGATTCAAGAAAAGTTAGAAAAGTTCATTGCAAATAGTTTCAGATTCATGAGTGAGACATGTTAGGTTGCATGCGTGAGACATGTTAGGTCTTTATTAATGACATTAAGAATTTTAAGCCTCTTGAATCTAATTTCTGAAATAACACATGAGATTTAGTGATGTAGAATTAATAGACATAGTTGCCAAACAGTAACTTTATTATTATTTTAATGATAAAAAGACTTTTTTTACAATAATGTACTTGTGGAAAAGATGAAGAAAAAGATTAACAATAGAAGAAGCTGCTGTACAAGGAGAAAATCATGGGATAAAGTGAGGCTAGAAAAATTTATGAAAATTGAAGTGGAGGAATAAAAGTTTTGCCTAAATCCAGAAAATTATAAAAGCATAAAGTTTGATGATAGAATCTGATGCTGAAAGAGTATGAGAAGTATGAGACAAAACTTTAAGTGAGAAAATCACCAATAACAACAATATTGAGTGGAGTATAATAAAAAAGGCAAATTTGATCAGAGACCAAAAAAAGTGTAGTCTTGGAAGTGAGCACATTAATAAACAAAAAGTTGATTGAGTGAAGAGGTGCTAAACAAAAGCACATTAAGGATATTCAAAAGATTCAAAACTGATTTCACAAAAAATAGGTGAATTGATACATAAGTATATGTCCAGAACAAGTATGTGACTATTGGAAAAAATCAAATGAGATTTAAACCATCAATACTGAGATTTAAAGATGAAATAGCCGAATTTGAAATTATTTTACAAAGAGCAAATAGTGCTATTGAATTTTGTAAGAGGTAAGATTTAACAAATGAAAAGTTATTTTGAAGACCATTAATACTTGCAAAGGATAGTACAAAGGTTACTACAAAGGATAGTACAAAGGATAGTACAAAGGATAGTACAAAGGATAGTACAAAGGATATTACAAAGGATAGTACAAAGGACAAGTATAAAGAATAGTACAAAGGATAGTACAAAGGTTAGTACAAAGATTAGAACAAAGGATAGTACAAAGGATAGTATAAAGGACAATTATAAAAGATAGTACAAAGAATAGTACAAAGGACAAGTATAAAGAATAGTACAAAGGATAAAGTATAAAGAATAGTACAAAGGACAAGTATAAAGGTTAGTACAAAGGATAGTACAAAGGATAGTAAAAAGGATAGTACAAAGGATAGTACAAAGAACAAGTATAAAGGATAGTACAAAGAACAGTACAAAGGACAAGTATAAAGGATAGTACAAAGAATAGTACAAAGGACAAGTATAAAGGATGGTACAAAGGATAAAGTATAAAGGATAGTAAAAAGGACAAGTATAAAGGATAGTACAAAGGACAAGTGTAAAGGATAGTATAAAGTATAAAGGATAATACAAAGGATAGTACAAAGGATAGTACAAAGGATAGTACAAAGGATAGTACAAAGGATAGTACAAAGGATAATACAAAGGATAGTACAAAGGATAATACAAAGGATAGTACAATATTTAGTACAAAGATTGCTTTTAGTTTTAACTTTAACCAAACTTCTTTATATAAATCTAAAAGTATTATGGAGTCAATAACCATAAAGCTCTACAATCTAGAATGTTTACTTGTTTTCTTAATTTTTTTTGCAATACTCTGTTTCTCTTTATCTTTTATTTTAAGTAATATAACTTTTGATTAATTAGCACATATAACACATATAACAATTACAAAATATATATATATATATATATATATATATATATATATATATATATATATATATATATATATATATGTATAATACCACAATTATAAAGCAAAAATTAGTTAGCTGGAACAGTATTTTTTGAAGTTGATAGAGTTAATTTTAATTTTGAAACTCTTTTGATGATTTTGGAAAACTCAGCCTTGGGGAGGGAAACAACATTTAAAAAAATTATTTTGTTCAATATATTTAGGTACCTATATTTCAAATTAAGAGAGATCTTGATTCAATCATGGACAGCACATGACTTTAAGCAATAAGCTATGATCCATAAGCAATAAGCTATGCCCCATCAACTACTAATCAACTTAAAGTCATAACAAAAGGCTTCTTATGTGGCCCCAATAATGCACACCAAACCACTAAAAGGGAGACCTTTCATGTACAACATGACACTGCTAATATTTAGATAATTTAAATTGTTAATGAAAACAGTTTCTTTGAGAACTAAGTTTGTGAAGCCTTACTAAAACCGGCTTTAAAACCATTAAACTGAGTTTTAGAGTTGTATCCTCATTAGGAGATAAAGAAAGAGTTGCATAGCCACCACCAAGCAAACATAAGCAAAAAATTATAAATTCAAAGAGTAAATTCAAGAAAATCCAATGTAATAAAAAATTTACATTTACTCCAGCCTATTAAATGAAAAAAGGGTGCCAGACTAGTCAACAGTAATTTTGTGTTAACTCTTTACACTACACTATTATTTCGACAAAGTGACAAATTAAAATACTAAATCATTTTTTGAAACTTGACAAAAAGTTCTGATTAAGTGAAAGAAAACATTATAAATAAACAACAATAATAGTTAATAAACATAAAACTATTTAAAGATAAAACAGAATTAAAAAAATAATTTTCAATCTACACCTCTGAAAGTACAGTGCTCAATCGGTTTCTCTGTCAAACAAGGTTCATGTTGCAAAATAAAATAGAAAAATGTTGGGCAAGCCACCTTGTCTGTAATGGCCCCTGTGGAACTTTAGGAAGGTGAGTTTAATTTAAGAAAAAAAAAAGAAATAAAATAATTTTAAACTAATTTGACATTACTCTGCGACAAGAAGTTTGCTGACAACATACACAAAATGACTAGCTGGAAATTTATTAGAATTAAATTTATTATTTTTTATTACTTCTGAAATCCATAAGTAGAGAAAAAAAAAACAATTCATTTCGCCCAAAATTTATTTGACCAAGCATCTTTCAGAAAATCCCTTAAAAATAGTGCAAAACATGATTAAAACCAAGCTACTTAAACAGAAAGACATGAAAAACTCATTCAATTGGTCATTTTGTCAAGATTGAAATTTTGAATGCAAAATAACCAGAAATAAGGATGTTTCATAAGGATGTTTCAGTAACATTAGAAATCATAAAAGGGCAACTCCAATGATCTAGTAAAAAATTTATATTTTTAATGGGTAAACTAAATGTTAATACTTTAAAAGAGAATTTGCTCATTAAAAAAATAAATCATGTAGTTTTAAAGTTTTATTAATTTATGATAATTTTAAAATCTATTTATAAACCAGAAGAAATTTTGTGCAAGTTTCTTTTAACTGAAAAACAACCACTAGCAACTAAATTATCAAAATCTAGATATCTTATTTTTAACTATTCTTACTAATATTATATTTAATATTTACACATTTTATTTAATGTAATATAATGCAAAACTCTGTTTTATTTTGAATAATAGGCGGTCACCAAAATTCAGGTAAACTCAGATTTTTTCAACTCAGGTAAATTTAGGTATATGTTAACTGAATTTCAAAGTTTATATTATGTTTTTTTTTTTTTAATTTCTTAACTAAATCTCAATATAATAACATTTTGTTATTATATTGAGATTCATATTAACATTAAAAAAAACTAATATTGAACAAATGGAAAATTTAAAAACGCAGATATTAAAGTTAAAATCAGAAAATATTAATTTAAGGTCCTAAAAAAAGGTAAAAAAATCAAAATTTTCAACACTCATTGAAGCTAAGGCAACCAGAAGGAAAAGGGTATTTATTATCTTAGATAATAAATCTTTGCACATATTTTATAGCAAAGATGTTGCCATCATTTTTTTAAGAAATAAGTATTAGGTAAAACAAAAAAATATGCGTTATTAAAGAACAAGTTCAACATCTGCAAATGAAGCATTCCTTAAAATATTAGCTCATTTTTAAAGCACTATTTTTTGTTAAATTACATAAAATGATTAGACTTTAAAATAAAGAAGATGGAGTGAGTCCATGTATCAACTCAAGGAGTTACAATTATTAAATTCAATGAAAAAAATTTTAATGATAAAAGTTTATATGGCACGAATTTACATTATAATTTACATAAATAGCATTGACAAAACTTTAATGATAAAAATTTGCAGAACGAATTTTAAAATCAATATTTATTGAATTATAATTTATTATTACTGATTACTACATACCTCTGCGTGGCCTCCTGGTGCAAGAGTTTTGTTACATTTTTTACATTTTAAACACCCGCGATGCCAATGTTTTCCTAGCGATGAAACTTTTTCAGCTAAATTGTAAAACAGGAATTTTGAAAATATAAATATTAAAACAAATTAATACTAGGGGTTAAAAAAAAAGTAGGGGTTAAAAAAAAACTAGGGGTTTAAAAAAAAAAATAGAAAAGTAGGTGGAACTACATGGGAAACTTGAAGGAGTTGGGCTCATGAGGGGACAATGTTCTCTTCCAAACAGCAAAGGGGTATAGGAGAGCACTGCAAGCTTCCCTCAACTGGTCTTGGTGAACTACCATCCGCAAATAAATTTTTGCAGTATTAAACACTTTTTATGGTCTCTAGTGATAAAAAAAGCGTTGAATAATATTTACATTAATTTGATTATGTTGCTTACGTTGAAAAGAATTTTATTGAATTGAACTCAGATCATAAATATAAATGTAACAACATAAACCGCAAATAATTATGTACTCTTGAGTTGATAATAAAGGAAGGGGGGGGGGCATTCATTATTTTTTGAAAAAATTTCCCACCCACCCCAAGCTAATTAAGCTTGGGGTGGGTGACCTCCCTGTTTAATAATTGACCTCCCTGTTTAATAATTTTTACTTGTTATCAACAAAAAAAAAAAAAAAAAAAATTAGCCTTATAAATTAGAAAATAATTATTTCAGTCACTGATAAAAAAAAACTTTCAGTGTAAACACGCTTTAAAAATCACCAACCAAGTAAATCTCTATTTGTCAAAAATGAGCTTTTGGTTTATTTCTCACCAAAGTATAGGGGAAGGTTGTGTAAGTTGAGCATGTTTTCAGTGTAATGTATTTTGCTCCCAAAAATATATATTTTTTAAGAATAACGATAATTTCATCTTTTCTCTTAAAGAATATAAATAATTTATAAAAAAAAAATCTTATTAAAATTATGTTTTCTTTTACACACCCAATTATTAGGAAACTGGTTTCCTAAGATGAGGTTTTTTTAATGGAACTCAAAAAAACTCAAAATAGCAAAAAAATAATCACAAAAAAAAAAATAAATAAAATTTTATCTTCAAGGACTATACTTAAGTAAAAAGTAATTATCTTAACCATAAAAAAAAAAAAATAATAAATCTTTCCAATCTCTAAAAAAGTTAACGATACTATTTTTTGAAAAAACTTTCGCTCTTGAAATACCAAAATAAAGCTCCACGGAGAATAGCTTTAAAAAAACACGCTTAATAAAAAGCTGTATCTCATCTTGAGTGTCTAAAAACATATCATAAAATATTGAAGATGTAATAAATTTTTGATGATTTTGTTTCGTTCTGATGTAATTACAAAATATTGAATAATAAAAAATCATAACGGGGATGGTAACTTTTTTTAACAGTAAAACAATCAAAGAATATTAACTAGCTCATATTATGCAACCTTTCCCTAAAACATGTATCAGCGTATTAAATCCTATTTAATTATTATTGTAAAACAGCAGTTAGAAAAGGCGCATTTGATTCAGTTTGTAAATCCAAACTAATATTTTTTACAAATATTAGTTTGTAAATTCAAACTAATATTTGTAAAAAAGATTAGTTTGGATTTACAAACTGAAATTTTCTTTATAAAAAATGTTTATATTGTAACATAAAAAAAATTACCATCCCTCACCCTGAATCTAAGGCAACCAGAAAGAAAAGGGTATTTATTATCTTAGATAATAAATCTTTGATCTTAAAGCAAATATACACATACTCAGTTGATTGCTGAATATTTATTTATAAATAACAGAAAAAAACACAAAATGTGAACTTTGGTTTCAGCTGACAAGATGCTAATTTGCAAAATAACATTAATTACAAACAAAAATAAAAAAATAAAAACATTTGCAGCATGGATTCACATTTCTTTGAATAATCTTTGAATATTTTATAGGTCCCTAATATTATCAAATTTTTTTTTTTTTTGAAAAGTATGCCATAATGGGTCTTAAATAAAGCAAAATTGTATAAAAATTTCAAAAATATCAATGATTTTATGAATAAATTATTAATTTGGATTTTTTTTGCATAAAATATGATGATTTTCAACTAAAAATAAAAAGTCCATTTTTTAAGAGTTTTATTAATAATTTTTTTTACATGCTTCTTATAAAATAATCATTTCTCTTCATTTGAGACAACATGATATACTCTTGAAAAACTTTTTTTGATAAAATTAGGGACACTTTAAATGTTTAAGGGTCTTGGGGCACCCCTCCATCTTGGGCAACATAAATTCAAATTAAAAAAACTCTTCTGCAAGAATACTATCAGATCAAACTTTTTCTCTAATTGTATAGTCAATATATGGAATAATCTATCGAGTGACATAATAGAAGCTGATTCAATAAATCAGTTCAAAAACAAACTAGATAAATCAAATATTTGCAAAGACATTTTATTACAAAATTTTTTTTAAGATAATTTGGTTTAGAGATTTAGGAATTGTGCAAAGCTGATACAGTGCAATATCAACTGTTATTGCGCTCCACAACTATTAACACCAGTTGTTACAGCGACCTCTTGTTAGTAATATTATTAATATTATTATTGCTATTATTATTATTGCTATTATTACTATTATTATTATTATTATAAATAACAGACTTTAAATTGAGTATTGAACAGAAAAAATTCAGTGTAATAAATTTGTAAATACAATATTTAAATGAATTTTTTTTTTAATGCTGATTTTTGATCTCCTATCTCAATTGGCCATCATATCTCAATTACAAATAATGCCAAATTTGCATCAAATAGCTTCTTACTAACTGTCAAATTTTCAAGTTTTACTGTTATATTTTTCATTCAATGTTTTACAATACTTTTAGAAGTTTTTAACTTATAGAAAGTTTATGTTTCAAAAATGCATTTTTTTTAATAAAACATTTTGAAAATTTAGCACAAGCCAATTACTTTATTTTTAAATAATTTAGTTTCAGATCAAAATGTTTTTTACCGTATGCCAGAAATTTATATCATATATACTGATAGTATAGCCAGGATGGCCATATTATCAGCCATTTTATTTGGTAACCATAGTGACTAATAAACTTATTTTATACATTTTTAAATGCGATTACCTAGTTCTTACTTATAATATAATTGGTTTTTTGTTCAATCAATCATATTTATTAACAGGCTCAAGGCTCAATATAATAAATATACAATGGGTAAAATAAAGTGGATATAAAAAAATAACGCACTTGAATATAAACAAAACCCAAGAAAAAAAAAAAAATAATAATAATAAAGTGTTACAAATATAACTCAGCTCTCCATTTAATCAACAATGGAGACTACAAGAACCTGTCAGAGTTAACAAAAGCTTTTATGATGAGGTTCTCACTATTCTGCAGCAGTAACAATGAAGAGTATTATTGCTTATGAATAACAGCATTAAGTGAATGGGTACCATGTTTCACAAATAATTCACTAGCACTGTTCCATGGTGGCTTGTTCAATATCAAGCAAAGTGCATTATTATATGCAATGCATAGCCGATGAAATGAGTCTTATCTCCAAAGATACCATAACTGACATCCATAAGTTGGGCTGCAAAAGGCATTAAATAACATGATCTTTGTTTGTATTTGTGTAGAGCTGAACTTTCTAAGAATGAGGTTTGCTTTAGCATACATAAAACGTACATGATTTATGTATGATATCTTTGTCATCCAGCATATCATTTGAGATCAAATGACCCAGGTATTTATATTGACAAGTGTATGTGAGAACCTTGTCAGATAAGGTGAAACATGGGCTATTTACAAGGGGTTCATAAATTTTAAAGAGCATTATTTGAGACTTAATACTGTTATAAACTATATCATGTTTTCAGCATAACTAGAGCATCAGTCAAGTAATATCTGGAGACCTTTGGCTAAGGGTGAACACAGGACAATATCATCAGCATAAAGAAGATGGTTAATGAGAGAAGGACCCCAGAAGCAGCCTACGGTAGTTTTATTGAGTAGAACACTAAGATCGTCAATATATATATATATATATATTAAATAGAAGAGGAGACAGTACCCCTCCTTGACGCACTCCATTACTGATATTAAATGTTTTGGATAATATACCATTCCATAGGATCTAAGCTGTTTGACCAGCATACCAGACAATGAGTAAGCGTAAAGTCACACCAGAGATTTTAGATTTTAGAATTTTAGATAGTTTCATAAATAATGTGTCAAATCGAACTCTATCAAAGGCCTTACTAATGTCAATAAATGCCACATGCATATTTGTGCCATGTGACAGGTAAAAATTTAGAATATCTTTTAAAATAAGAACTGGCATAAAAGTGCTATGGTTTTTCTTGAATTAGAGTTGATTGGGAGTCTTAGTGAAACTTTCATTAACGTGTGAGACAAAAATATGTTCCAAAATCTTGGAGAAAATTGTAACCAGAGCAATTAAACAATAATTAGCTGAATCGGAGATGTCACCATTCTTATCTTTAACCACAGGAGAAACAACAGAGTGGGAAGCACCGATAGGCATGTGTCCATGGCAAAGCATGGAGGAAAAGCACAATGATAAAATATTAATGTAATTTGGGCTAGCATAGAGATAATGCTCCAACTGAAGTCCAAAAATGGTCAGCTGCTTTTCCACAGGTCATATGATTTATGATAGATTGGATTTCATTGGAAGTGACAGAATAGGCATCATCCTTAAGCAGATTACAGTATTTAACTATAAAGGTGTCATTTATTTAATATTTTCATATAATACATTCATATAATATTTTCAATAGGAATTTATTTGAGGGGTATATATAGATACCTTCATAAGCTTCCATTTTAAATGTGTTTTATATTTTGACATCCGTTTCAAAAAGATATATAAACATCGAAATACACATAAAGGAAAAACTTTTAAGATGCTATCAAAACAATGTACAATTACCTTTTGCTACAGATTTTCATTTGAAGTTATTTGAAACTAGTTAAAAGTGATTGTAATAAAGCTATATGACTTTTGACTTATTTAAATCAATATAAATGCTAACCAAAGTAACATACTGACATAGATTATTTATAGATATTTCATTTGATATAATATCGATATATTAATATAATAATTGATCTTAAAAATATTCTTTATGTATAAAAAAGGTTTTACAATATTGCTACCATATATTAGCAAATGAGAAACTAAGAAAGTAAAAAAGACACTAAGGAAGTAGCATTTACAAAATGTTTCAGAAAATAAATACAAATTATCCATAACTTGTATGAAAGTAAAAGAACTTTCTTATATAGGCTACAATATCTTCTTACATAGAAGATATTGTAGAACTTAATAATTCATTTGATTTAAATTAATAAATATAACAACAAAAAGATATTTACATAAAACCATAAGCATCTTTGAAAAAATTTATATTAAAATTTATGGGATGCTATTGTTAATATTTTTGCTTATTTTTTATTAAGAATGTATTTAAAAATAATATTATTAAAGTAAGCTTTAATATTTTTTTAATTTGTTGAATATGTTAAACATTTTTTTCTTATATAGGTGATAGGAGATATTGTATATTTTCTATGACATAGTTTAAAGTTCGCAAAATAAATTTCCTCTACACTTTTGTTAATATATTTTTTACCTTAAAATCTAGTATCTGTTGATGCATATGTATTTATAACATGATATACATAGTCAGATCTTGGGGTCACAGCACTGTCATAAAATATATGATGGTGGAAAGATAGTAAATTAAAGTGTATTGTATTTGATACTTTTGCATAGATCAATATCTTGCAAAATTTAAAATGATCAACTTTGCAAAATAATATTTAAAAACAAAATAACAAAAAAATTGTAAAATATAATTTTGTAAACATTTGAAAAAAATTAACTTATAAAGCTTTTATAGATAATTTACATTACATTATTTCTATATAAATGCCAATCAATGATATTTACATAAGAATTATGAGATATGAGATATATGATATAGAGATACGATGTACCATACAGTTTGTGTTTCTGTATATAATTTCTGTATATAGATATTTGAATACAGAAAAACAATATAACAAATTATTTGAGTTTCAAAGTTAAGTTTTACATATTACACATACAGAGACTTAATACATGAACAATATACAGAATATTTGTAACGGATAGTGTAGGTGTATAAAAACCACTTAATGATAGGAAATTAATCATCGGTAGTTTATTTTTATTATTTTTTGACAGTCTGATGTTTTTTGTAAAAGTCACTCTTACCAAAATAAACGACTTTTTTGCAATTAGGACAATTCATCTGTAACTTTATTAAACAAAAATGCGATGAAACTTCTAAGCCTTTCAAAAAAGCGTTAAAATCTCAGTTGAAAAATTGTACCGTTAAAGAAAATTTTATATTTCCACTATTTTAATGCTTAAGAATAGTTCATTCAATAAAGTATTAATCAATAACAGTGTTTTCTTTTAAATTCAATAAAATAAAAACAAATGGATTTGATTTAAAAACTTTTACTAATACCTGGTTTCCTTTAAGACAAATAAACATGTGACTTTTTTTTTTAATAATTTAATTTATGATAAAGCTTTTTCCGACATTTACTGTGAATATTTTTTGAAAAAACTGTATTTTATTCCATAAGTTTTTGGTTAGGTATTACTTTTAGTTGTTATAGTAATACATATTGTTTTAGCTGTTACATAGCGAAAATTTTTATGCAAAGTACTACCATTAAAATCTGATTAGTGGCCAAATTTTAAACATTATTATTTTCCACTTAAAAATAGTTTTTTGACATGACTGGTTGGAAAAACTTGTTTGAAATGTTTTAGATGAATTATTTAATGTTTAAACTTTTGGTTTCACCTTAAAGTTTAAACATCACGAGTGACACCCCTCTAGAATAACAGGTGAAAGGTGAAACTTGAAATTCCTCTAAATCTAGAATTTTTTTTTAAAAAAAGAAAAATTAAAAAAATTCTGGCATATTTGTTTTTTATTCATTTTGGTGTCACCGATCGGTGTCACGTTGTGAAGGTGTCCCCAGGTGCAACACGCAACCCCCCCCCATTCCTAGCGACGCCACTTAATCTTACGAATATAATATTACTACATCTTTTTTAAACAAAGTTAAACAAAAAATTTATTGAAATGAAAAATATAAACTAATAAATTGGACTTGGATGATATAAATCAGTGCCGGATCAAGGAGGGGGCTAGGGGAGGGGGGCTATAGCCCTAAGCCCCGCAAATTTAAGGACCCCAAAAGTTTTAGAGGATCTTTTATTTTTAAGTCATTTTTAGGCTCTGCCCCATAAAAAGGCCTCCAAAAACAAAAATAAGAAGTCTTAATCCGCCACTGATATAAATATATAAATTAGTTAAAATGTAGAATAAATTCTGTATTTTTCTCCTAAATTTATAACTTGATGACTTTAAAAAAAAAAAAAATTTAATGAAAAGTAATTAGTTTGAAAAATGCAATTTTAACATCTAGACTTACAATTTTCTTATAAAAACTGATTTTCTATTTAAATTCTATTTAAGACCTCTGATAATAATTTGATTCAAACACAAAATTTGTAAAAAATAATCAGGTTGTTAAATAAATTAAGTGAATAAACCTATGCTGCTGTTTAAATGTTTGAAAAAAAAAGAAACAGAAAATTACAAGAACTTTCATTAACTACGCTAAGTTAAGAGAGAAACTTTTTTAGTTGACGCATATATAATTTTACAGAAATCAGTAAATGCAATTTTTTTGATTTTTTATTAATAAATTTTAAAACATAAATTTTAAAAGTCCAATAGATAAACGACGCTCCGGGACTAAATAAATGCAGAATTTAAGTTAAAAAACAAAAGTTTACTTTTTTGGGGCTTTTTGATTAGACTAAATTTGTCTTCTTATAGCCTCGGTCATGTAATTATTTTTTATAAGTTACGATAGAATTTTTATTTTATTGGCAAAAGTGTTAATAAATAAATAAATGATGGGTTTTTTTTTTGTGGTTTTATTTAAATTTGATATACCAAGTTTATAAAAAAAGTTATTTTTAATTTAATATGTTGCATTTTTCAACAATGTTATGTTGCATAATTGGAAAAATCCTTCGCAAAAAATAAAATTTAAAAAAAATTATTGCTTTGAAAATGATAGATTGCCTGCCTGAATCAAAAACCTCAGTCAATGTAGCGCCACTCCTGCATGTTCTACCTATTTGTTAGTCGATGTATGTATACTCCTTGCATGTTCTACCTATTTGTCAGTTGATGTATGTACACTCCTTGCATGTTCTATCTATTTTTCAGTCGATGTTTGTACACTCCATGCATACTTTACCTATTTGTCAGTTAATATATGTACACTCCTTGTATGCTATAGCTATTTCGCGACGTTAGAATTATCTTGTTCTATATCCACATTTTTTAGTTTTGAGATAAAACGATTTAAAAAACAAAAACTTTTGGAGACGGCGTATAAATTTTTTTTTATAATTTATTTTTTTTCCGCAAATTTTTTACTTGTAACTTAGGTTTCAGTTCGGTAGAAAGACATTATTTTGAGGAACACAATACTATCATTAACTCAATTTTTTCAGAAAGTGGAGATAAAACAAGATAATTCTAACGTCGCGATTTGTCAGTCGATTTATGAAAAATAAAGGGTTGAGGTTTTGTTTTAAATACAATATGTATGTATAAAATAGTTATATTATAAACAACTATTATATTGATATATCATTTATTTTAAGCGTTGTAAAAAAATCCAAGGGGATTTTTTCCGGGGAGTATTTTTTTAAGGGGAAATGTTTTTGAAGGAATATTTTTCTGGGGGATTTTTTCTTGCTACCCTATAAAAATTGTCGAAAAATGTGTACTTGATGATCATAAATATAAACTCATAATTTAACGACTCCTGTGTAAATGCATTAATAATTATCGATATATATATATATATATATATATATATATATATATATATATATATATATATATATATATATATATACATATATATATATATATATATATATATATATATATATATATATATATATATATTTATATATATATATATATATATATATATATATATATATATATATTATTTTTTCAATTCGTAGTAATTTATGGTATTGGAGAAGTTTTTCTAATGTATTTAATAGGGGGCCCAGTGCGATTGCACTTGTTGCACTTGCGATAGTACGGCGCTGTATATATATATATATATATATTATATATATATATATATATATATATATATATATATATATATATATATATATATATATATATATATATACATTAAAATAAATATAATATATATACATTTTATATATACTTCTTTATATAAAGATATTGACACAAAAATTATATATAAGTATAACGGATTTTTTTGTAAAACATTTACAACTTAAAATAACACTTAAAAATTTAGATTTAACAGTTTTTTTATTCTATTTATTGCATTATTGTTATTGGAAGATAATTTATAAAGTTAAATTCTCACAAATAATAAACCCTAGCGTGCACAGCACCCTAGTTGGGCGTCTTAAGGACGTCGTACCAACTTATGGCTTCTATAAGACGTTGTATAGACGTTTTATGGACGTCTAAGACGTTTTATCTATTGTTACGTCTTATAGATATATAATAGATTAAACGTTTATTGCATATAAAACTGCTTATTATTTATTGATAAATCTAATATAAAAATCTTGTTTAAAATTACAGTTATCCAAAAAGGGGTCCTAATTTATTCGGAAATGACCCGAAAAATCCCTTAAAAGGGTGGTTCTATAGACAATAGAGATTACTTTAAAGAAAAAATTAAAATTTTTTAATTACCTCTGCAAGAGAAAACTGCATTTAAAGTTTCCGTCTAAATACAACAAAAAACTTTATTTTGAAAATGTATTTGCACAGCCAAAAGTTCAAAAAAACACTTTTTTTGCTTTTAGCTTTACAAATATTACAAACTAATATGCCTTAGATTCAAAATTATGTTTTAATAAAGAATATTTATACATACAATCCAATACTAGTATATAAATATACAATATAGTATATCAAATTTCTTTTGATTTTTTAGGATGATAAAAAATCAAAAGAAATCGGTATTAAAATTTTATTCTTTAGCATGGCATTATGTAAAACACAACTTTTAAAAGATATGTATTTCTAAATACTTATACACTGAATTACAAAGTAGTTTAAACCAATACAAATTTGAGACTGTAGATATTCGTTTGACATTTTGACTGTAGATCTTCTGACAAAAAAAAGTAATTACATACACGAAAATATACTCTGACTGCAATTTGTTTCCTAATCCACAGTTTTTAGATCCATCTAGAGTTTTTGACCCACAACAATTTAATTTCAAATGTGTTTTCTGTTAAAATCAACAACACAGCTCAGAAGTTTGTTCCCATATTCAGGATGAGAAGGTTGCCATTTAAACGTTTGCAAGTTAATTTTGAATTTGGAGCGAATCAATTCAGTGGTTTGCTCACTGAAAATTCTGAATCCAGTTTCATTTTTTTAAGCAATTTCCTTAATGAGGTGAAAAATAGCATGTGTTTTAGGAGTAACTGAAATTTCAAGAGCTAGGTAAGAATGTTTGAATTTTGTTATATTTTGACAGAATTCTGCCTCCAAGATCTTTACAAGTTTTGTTAACAGATTGAAGCTTTGCTGAAGCAATCAACAAAAAGCATTGCTTGCAATGCACAACGCTTTCGGGCAAGACTCTGAAGAATTTCAATATTCTCCAATAGTTTGTTTCATTCATTTCCATTGAACTGCCCCCCATGATATGCTTACATATGAAGTAGCAAGAGATTTATCCATTCTTGTATTTGATCCCATATTTTAAGAAGTTGCTTGAAAACATGGTTGAAGATTCGAAGAAAAAGTTGAAGTTCCATTTAGAAGAATTACATCAAGAATAAGCTCAGATTGCCTGTAAGGATTAATTATTGGAGGATGGACAACATTTGAATAATTCTTAGCCGATTGAAGTTTTGCGCCTAAAGATAAAAATTTAGCATAGGTGTTGCATAAAGAATTAAATGTTCTTGATTGACCAGAGTTTGTAAGGTTGTCGAAATCAACATCATACCAGCAACATGGGTGTTTGCTAGAGTGAAACTGGGTACCACTTAAAATGTTGGCTACTTTCATGTCACGTAAAATTATGTAAGACACATCTTCAATTTGTATGAGGCTTAATTTTCAAAACACTTTTTTTCAAACTAAAAAAGCAAACAGTATTTTTGCAATCATCATAAGTTTTTACTGCATTAGGCATTTTTTGACAAAGACAAATTAATTTTAAACAGAAATGCCAGTTTATTTATTTGCATTATTTTAGAGGTAAAAATTTGACGCCAACATATTTCATTTATATTTACTTTAAATTTGAATTTTTTAAATAATAGGTTAATATAATGTTGTTTAGAGATATTCACAACATATA